CCCCGTCTCCGCCACTGGACGGAAAGCGTTGATGTAGAGCTTCCATATCTTCCCAGATGGAGAGCAATTCAGGCCAGCCGGACCACTTAGATCTTGTTGCACCGATGTACAGCCTTTGGGAGCGGATACCATCTTCTTCGCGAGTTGAGATCCTCTGCAGTACCGTATGGTGCTGTAATATGGTAGGACAGCGTGGTCTATGTGCCAAGACATGAACTAGTCGAGGATTAGGAAACTACTCATAGCAATTAGGGTAGGACTCTTCTAGTCGAATCCGACTAGTATTCTTGTAAAACAACCGACCTGTAAGCCTGCCCCCTGCAATATAAGGTGAGGCAGGGACCCCCTCCAAAGCAATTCAATCCAACCAACACACAAGACGTAGGGTATTATGCAATCTAGCGGCCCGAACCTGTCTAAATTGTGTGTTTGAGTTCACTTTCGAGTTCCTGATCTCGACGAGCCCCACGCGCTAAACACTACCTCGGGCAGCCCCCTCGGTAGGTTGCCGGGTCTAAACAATGGCACGCCAGGTAGGGGCTCCCACTATATGAATTGACGTATATGCCGACGGCCAAAGCCGTCGGCAGAGGCCCTAAAACCATCGGCATTGGCTATGCCGATGATTGCCGTCGGCATATACCCGTCGGCAATGAATGCTTCGGCCAACCTAGGTTAACCGTTGGCATAGTAAAGATTGATTCCATTTATAAAAGCTTTTTAATTGATTCCTTTTGCTATTGGAGTTTTATAAAAGCTTTTTAGTTGATTCTTTTTGCTATTGAAGAATATAATAGTTTTATTTTAGTTAATCATAACATAATATTTTAATTGATTATTTTTAGTTTATTCTTTTTGCTATTAGTTCATTCTTTGAGCTAAATGACCATTAAATTGAAAAACACTACAAATAAACTCTGAAAAGGTTGAAACTTGGCATGGTATCATCATTTCACCCACATAGCTTGTGCTAAAAAGTTGAGAGGGTGACGACAAAAACTTGATGCACTTCGTGTACAAAATGGACGATCTCTTTCGAAGTATCAGGGTTTCGGACGAAAACTCATTTATTACAAAGGGCATTTTTTTGAACCTATTTGAATTCCAGAATTTTTGTACTCAAAATGCACCATTCAAAGCCACATCATCAATTTTCAATTCTTTCTGACTTTATTTGGTATTTTTCATGCATTTACTGATATTTTGAGCTAAATGACCCTGAAATTGAAAGCACTACAAATGAACTCTGAAAAGGTTGAAAGTTGGCATGGTATCATCATTTCACCCACATAGTCTGTGCTAAAAAGTTGAGAGGGTTACGACAAAAACTGGATGCACTTCGTGTACAAATGGACAATCTCTTTCGAAGTATCAGGATTTTAGACGAAAACTCATCTGTTACAAAGAAATTTCATTTTTTGAACTTATTTGAACTCCAGACATTTTTTGTGTTCAAAATGCACCGTTCAAAGCCACATCATCAATTTTCAACCCTTTCTAACTTCATTTGGTATTTTTCATGCATTTACTGATTTTTTTGAGCTAAATGACCCTAAAATTGAAAAGCACACAAATGGACTCTGAAAAGGTTGAAAGTTGGCATGGTATCATCATTTCACCCACATAGCATGTGCTAAAAAGTTGAGAGGGTTACGGCAAAAATTGGA